TGTATTACTTGAGAAGATAAATGGAGGGATAATATTCAGGGCTCTTTATCTTGCTTAAGGCCAAATACAGCTGAAAGATACCTTCCTTCTAACTTTAATATTGTGTGACCCTGTGAGATGCTCTGTAGTCAAAATTACAGAAAAAAGATATTCTTAGGCTTTAGTGAATATGGATATGCTTGGACAAATTCTTGTTCTTCAGTCATAGTTCTGAATATTCTTAAAGATCCCATGCTTGGGAATGCTTCTCTCATGAGAACTGTTGAAGAAATTGTCTTAGATGATGATGTGAGCAAGGTTGTTTAAATTGTACTGGGTGTTCTCTTAAGGGAGAGCTTTGAAACCAGAATTTCAAGGGTGGTGCAGAGATTGGTACCCTCAGATCTTGGAATGGCTGAGTGGGGCTTGAGGTTGCTGATCCATTAGGCCAGCCTCTGGACTAGCTATGATTCTAATTTTCCCAGTGTGTTGAACAAACGTCCTCATTTTCTCTATAAGCCAGAACATGAGACAGTTAGGCAGTGCTGCCTTAAAGGATATAGCCATGCTTTGGAAACATTTTGGGTTGAGGACAGATACTGTTTTTCTTATCAGTCGGGGTTCTCGGTTGCAAACAACAGAAACTTATTCTAGCTAATTTAACCCACACTGAGTTGTCTGGGGCTGTCCATGTCAAATTTATTTTCAGATCAATAAACATTTGAGAGCATTTTCTACATAAGGCACAGAACTTAGGCTTTCAATATATAAAGACAATCTTTTCTTATAGGAGAGAAGATATTTTCTCCTGCCACATAAATAATTTAAGATGCTTGATCATACCTGGTTTCTAGCCTGTTGCAGATAAAGGGGAGGATCTGTTTATCTCTGCTGACTGGTTAGGAATTGATTATTTGGTGACAATCTCACCAAAGGGGTAATTATAATCACAAGTTTATAATCTTTCTTGATCAAGTACTTTAAACCCTGTTGAACAAATATTTTAATTCCTCTTAGCTTCTAACAATCTCCACAGCCCAGTTATAGTATCACTTCTTTCCCTGTACCCTTTTCCTATGGAAGTTGTTGCAGGCTTTTAGAAAAAATTCATTTTAGTCTAATGTCTTATTTATAGTTTTGCCATTAAAAATATCTGAATACATGGTGACAGGTTGCAATACATTGATACCTTCCTCCTTCCCAAAGAAATTGCTCCTAATAAATTATTTGGCATACCTTTATTATTAATTTGAAGTTGACCCTACCCTGATATTTTTTAGCCCATTGTGCTAAAGATGAGAAAGACCAGTACTTAAGAGGTTCTTAGAGAAAGTTAATGAGAGGAGAGATGTTTTAAACAAACAAACATAAAAGGCTCATGCCTACAGATCTACAGATAGCCAGGAAATTCCTCTCCAGAGTATTGTAAAGTTGCCTCTTACTGTCTTTCCCTGAAGCTCACCTTTGATTGGCTTTCTGGGCTGTTCCTTTTCCTCCTTAACACTGCTTTGTGAGTTCATCTTAACTGATCATTTAGAGCAGGGGTCCTCAGACTACGGCCCGCGGGCCACATGCGGCCCGCCGAAAACATTTGTTTTTTTACTTCAAAATAAGGTATGTGCAGTGTGCATAGGAATTTGTTCATAGTTTTTTTTAAAACTATAGTCCGGCCCTCCAACGGTCTGAGGGACAGTGAACTGGCCCCCTGTTTAAAAAGTTTGAGGACCCCTGATTTAGAGAGTTGGGGGCATTATGGAGAACAGGTTATGTAACTTGATCTTATCCTAAACCCCCTGGCACCAGCTTTAGGCTCTCAGTCACCTCTGCTTAAAGGAGCTTTAAAGTTTATAGAATTATTTAATGTATTTTGTTAGTGAAAGATCAGAATATATACTGGGTAATTTTCAAGATAGCTGCAGATGTTTCTGAAGTATAGAGTGTGTTTACATCTAATTTATGCAAGTTAAGTCATATTCCATTACACATGTGCTTATTCATTTTTGCAATAAATGTCCTTTGAAGACCCCAATTAATTTTTGCTTAAATGTGATTGCAATGCTGAAAAAGAATCTCTGTGTTGTGCATCATATATAAATATTTATTTTCAATAAAACAGTTTGAGTAAGTTTTAATTGTAGTAATATATTTTGTTTGCCTGCAGAGGTGAGCTACTGTCCTCTAAAATTGGGCGTTTGAAGGAAGGACCAATTTTGGTTTTTTTCTTTGGGTAGTTTTCACAATGATTCTTTGTTGTGTCATTGTCCTACATTTGATCTTAGTCTTTTATCAGTTTTCACCATATAGAGGTGATGGACCATGTACCGGGTGGTTTCAGATGTACTTCACATGATATGTGGTGTTCAGCTTTGATTTGGGGTGTTTGTGGACTTTGAGCTTATTCAAATTTATTTATTTTTTCTAAATATATTTTATTGATTTTTTACAGAGAGGAAGGGAGAGAGATAGAGAGTTAGAAACATCGATGAGAGAGAAACATCGACCAGCTGCCTCCTGCACATCTCCCACTGGGGATGTGCCCGCAACCCAGGTGCATGCCCTTGACCGGAATCGAACCTGGGACCCTTGAGTCTGCAGGCTGACGCTCTATCCACTGAGCCAAACCGGTTTCAGCCAGCTTCTTCAAATTTATGATTGCAAAAGCCCTTATATTAATTTTATCTTCAGAAACTTTACTATATAAAGTAACATTCATAGGTTCCAAAGATTAGGACCTGTTATCTTTGGGGTCCACCATTCAGTTTGCTACAGTCTGCCTTCTGGCTCCCAAATATTCACATCTGCCCCAAGTGCAAAGTACATTCACCCTACAGGTCCAATCCAGATCTCACCTGGACGTTATCAGCTCCAGCATCTGAAATCTGACCACCAAAATCCTCTACATCAGGTATGGGTGAGACTGAATGCGACCCATTTTTATATATAAACAAGAAGGCCAGTTATCTGCTTCCAAGATACAGTGGTGGGTCAGGCATTGGATAAAATTGAAGGGAGAACAGGAGACAATTGAAGGAAGAGAGGAGGCAGCAGTCCCAAGCAATTTCAAAATCCAGCAGGGCAAATTCTGCCAGGTTTCAGGGCCTGAGAATAATCTGCCTTTAAGTATTTCCTAAAGACAGTTTTCCAAGAAGTAGAAGAGCACATTTATTTAAAAATCTTTCTTGTATATTGCTGAACCTCTCAACAGAAAAGTTATATCAATTTACTTTTCCACCAGCAATGCATTATACTAGTGATTATTTGACCTAGTCACTTTGATCATATGTTATCATTAAAAATATATATGCATATGTGTAAAATAAAATCTCTAAACTTTGCCAATTTCACATGAATAAAATTTTTAACTGTTTTTGGTGTTAGTGAGTGCCTTTAATAATTCTTTTATAATTTTTCTTTACTGTTTATACCCTTGCCAATTTTTAAATTTTTATTGATTTGTGTGATGTTTTTGTATATTTAGAGTTTCTGATTTTGTATTGCAAGGATTTTCCCAAGATTTTATTTTTATTGATTTCACAGAGGAAGGGAGAGGGAGAGAGATAGATAGAAACATCAATGATGAGAGAGAATCATTGATCAGTGATGAGAGAGAATCATTGATCAGCTGCCTCCTGCACACCCCCCACTGGGGCCTGAGCCCACAACCCGGGCATGTACCCTTGACCAGAATCGAACTCAGGACCCTTCAGTCCACAGGCTGACGCTCTATCCACTGAGCCAAACCAGCTATTTGGTAGATATTTGGTAACTGAAAGGCAAATTATGTGGAAAATTCATGTCGTACTGTGCTTATCTCTGAAAATGATGTGTCTGGTCTTCGGAATTCACGTCCTGTAGAAGGCCCAGCCCTGAGAGCTGATCGGAACTCTGCCAAGAGCTCTGTGCATTCTGCGGTCTTGTCCAGCTAGTGTGCACACTCAAACTTCCAAATCCCATCCAAGTACCGGGCTGCACAGGCTGAGCTCTCTAATTCATCTTTTGAATCCACAGAGGTGGGAAAGTGTTTGGATTGCAGAGATGTTTGGGTAGGGAGATAGATGTATAATAAAGTGTGAAGAGTGAATGCCCGGACAAGTATCCTTAAAATGTAATGAAACCAAGATGGGCTTAAAAATGCTTAAAATCCCAACTTAGTTACAGTTTCCATATACTAGAATCTTAAAGAAATGGTTATAAGATTTATTGAAATAGAAAGAAACATAGTCAGTGGGTGAAGTATGCTACAAAACGGTATTACGGTCTGATTTTAATTGTAGAGAAAAAAATATGTCTATGTATAGGAAATAGTCAGAAACAGACAATGATTAGTTTGGGGTAATTGGACTTTTAAGTGTATATAAATATTTCAAATCTGTATTTTATAGATGTATATATTATATTTTATATACTTTTTGTTTTATCTTTTATGATATTTCTGGCTTTTTATAATAGACGTTTTGTTAGTTTGATATAAAACATTGATACCTTCCTCCTTCCCAAAGAAATTGCTCCAAATAAATTATTATTTGGCATACCTTTATTATTAATTTGAAGTTGACCCTACCATGATATTTTTTAGCCCATTGTGCTTGCGAATGCTTCAGATTCTACTCTAAGTTGTTTATAGCATATTTGAGGGAAAATGATTTTTATTAAACTAAGGCGTTAAAGTATAACACTGGAAAGGTTTAGCATTTTTTAGTGTCACTGCTGAGGTAAATGATTTTCATGTTGGTATTTTTATTTGCAAAAGTGTTAGCATCTCTGAACAATATAAAGGATGCACTGAGCATTGTTTTCCGTTTTACTGGAGCATATTGAGTGATTTATGGATAGTAACAACTTTAGATCATTTTGATTTACTTTTCCTTAATTCTGAAAATTCTTGGTTGCATTTTAGAACATTATGTTAACTATATGTTAAAGCAAATTTTTCTGCCTTTTGATATGAATTTCTTTTGCCCTCAGAATAGTACCTGTTTTATAGTACTTGAAACTTTTACTTTTTATTTGTTATTTCTTAGGTAAACGCAAAGCACTGAAGTTGAATTTTGCAAATCCACCTTTCAAATCTACAGCAAGGTTTACTCTGAATCCCAATCCTACAGGAGTTCAAAACCCACACATGTGAGTATTTCTGTAATAAATAAAAGACTCAACTCAAGCAAAGGTTTTAAAAGTTACTGCATTTTATGGATTATTTCAAGTTGAGGGATTGGTATTTCCATTATTTTTATGGGCCATTAGAAATATTACTATTTATACTTCAATAGAAAGCTATTGGTGCTGTAGTTTGAAGTAGGTAAACACAATTTTTCTTTTTAAAGTTTACTTGAAAGGAAAAAATAACTAAAGATTTTGATATATTTATATCTTTTTAATTTCTTTCTTACTGAACTGAGAATATTGTTTATACCTTTCTTTCTGGATTTCCATTTAAATTGTAAGTGATTTTTAGAAAATGTAATTTTTCCCTGTATATCTGCATTAGTCATCCCCACTGACTAGGTGACAAAATAGATTCCTACTCCTAATAAACTGACTTTCTGTGAGATTTCTATGTCACAGTAAATCGAAACGGTGTGTACAGGTGTCAGTGATTATTTTTAAAATTTGTTCCTTAAATATTTTTTATTTAAAAATAGATAGGATGTTGTAACATGTCACTGAAATTATTAGAAACATCTGTTAATTTAAAACAATACCTTCAGAATAATACTTCACAGAAACCTTTGATTGAGTCGAAGTGATGTATTAATAGATAATGTCTTTATCTAACAAAAGTAGTGGCTTTACATTTATATTTATGTCCATAAAAATAACTTTCTTCCAGTTCTGGTATTGAGAACTCTAAAAGCAAGTGGTGAAAGATATGGTTAAAAAAACCTGTCAGAATAAATTATTTTATAGTTTTTAATAATTTCTCAATAATTTGTATTCATACCTTATTAGACTACAAGTATATTTATTTTTCCTAAAGAGGCACATTTATTGCTATTTTCTTGTCTTTTGATGTTAGGTATGCATTGTATTTACAAACACTAACAAATTGGTAGAAGGAAGAGTATATTGCAGTAGAAATGCTGAAAATATTTTATTTTTAAAACAGCAGTCTAGAAGGGAATAATGTGTGCCTGTATATCTGCTCTTATGCTTTCACCTATAAGTTTAAAGGGAGTGAAAAATATTTTAAATGAAAACTGGAGTAACAGTTTATTTGACTGGGAGTAGTGTCTGTCAATTTAATTAGACTGATGTTCATAATGGAATTTCTTGTCAGAGCTCAGCCTGAAAAGTGGGGGCTATAGCATTGAGGAAGGAAACTCTTAGTACTGCTTGATTAGTCAGAGCTCAGCGCAAGGAAACACTCAGAAGAACCTCCTTCCTCCTTTCCTAGAAATTTTAGTGAAAGCTGGTTCTTGAACATAGTCTATTAACCTTGGTTGCTAGATGAACCATATGTTTGAAGTCTAAGAAAGAAAGGCTATGCAGTAATTGCCAAACTTAAGAGATAGTCTTCGTCCTTTTTTTTTTTAAACCACTTTGGACAAAGACAACCTGATTTGTATTAGAACTGGAAAACATTCACATATATTGGAACTTTCTTCCTTCAAGAGTTTCTTCATGTATAGGGATTCATAGACAAAAGTCTTTTTTTTTTTTTTTTAAGTTAACAGTAAACAATAAAGAGGGTAAAAAAAAACCTTTCTTGCAAAATTTGAGTCCATCAGGTGTTTTCTGTTGTTGTTGTTAAATCTACTTCATCATAATCCTGTAACCAGTAGGTTTCTTATCCTTTGTTGCTTCCCAGCAGGTATTAAAAGTTTGAGAGGGCAAGGTTATAGGCATTTTTACTGTTTGATAGAATCTCTAGAATTTGATTTTGGTGTATAAAATTTTAGACCCAGACTTTGTTTGAATTTTCTTACTGCACTGGCTTATTATCTGGGTTGGAATAGCAACTGCCTCTTAGATATTGGTCCAAGACAGTTGTTTCACTACTCAGGGCAGCATATCTCCTCTATGCTCCCACCCCTTCCACAGAGGAATCCTTCTTTGTTCTTCCTCTGAATTGTGTGCTGTCAGCACTGAAACTACTGTTGGTCCCTGTTTAGGGTAAGTAGTTGCAATTAGGAAATATAACTTAAAGTTTGTGGGGGTTTCAAAAAAGATTACCTCTGTGCTATTTATATGTGTTTCCTCCTAAAAGTTCCTTCAACTTTACCTACATATATATACTAAAGGCCTGGTGCACAAAATTCGTGCACTGGTGTGGGAGGGTTGTCCCTCAGCCTGGCCTCCGCTCTCTCGCAGTTTGGGACCCTTCGCTCCTTACCACCTGCCTACTCACTGCTCCTTACCGCTTGGCTCGCTGCTCCTAGCACTGCCGCAGAGGCAGGAAAGGCTCCCACCACCACTAATGCGCTCACAAGCCGTGTGCTCGGCTTCTGTCTGAGCGGCGCTCCCCATGTGGGAGCGCACTGACCACCAGGGGCAGCTCCTGCATTGTCTGTTCGCTGGTGGTCAGTGTGCATCATAGCAACTAGTTGTTCTGGTTGTTCTGCTGTAATGGTCGCGTGGGCTTTTATTATATAGGTAATACTTTTTTATGAATTTAGGAAAAGATAAGATGAACTATAAGCCATTGATGAAGTTAAGATTATGTCCCGAGAAGAAGTTTCAGGTCTCCTGGCTGCAGGATTCTGTAAAAGATTTTAAAAAGAAATTAAGACTGTTCTTACTTCCTGTGAACCAATAGTTTAAATAAATTCCAAGAAGTGATAGCTGGCTACAGCAATTCAGAAGTAAGTAGTAATACAGATTGAATTTCAAATGAATGAGTGGTGCAGCAAGGTTAAGATCACAGTAGATAAACAACTTGATGAAAAGTTTAACAAAGGGAACAGGATTTGAATGGGATTTTGAAAGACAAATAGAGAATAGATAGAAGGGAGAATGGCTTTCTGGTGAATGTAAGTACAAGTTAAGTTTGGATACGTATCATGTATAGATTTATGTAATTGTAGCAGCGATGTTACTTATATATTACCAATTTCTATCATTGGAAACTTTTAGCATTTTTTCTTTATTTTTGGTATTCTATAATTATATGAGGATATGCTTAGGTTTGGATCATCTTACTCAGTGTACTGGAAGAACTGTTTCAGTTTTAAGATTCATGTATCTGTTTCTGAAAAAATTTCTGCTTTTTTTTTTTAAAAAAAATAGATTCCTTCATGTTTTTCCTATTCTTTCTTCCTGAAATGTGTGTTTTTTGGATGTCGGACCTCTTGAATTCCCTGGTTCTCTGACTTTTCTTTCATATTTCCCATCTCTGTATTTTTTACTGTATAACCTAGGAGATTTCCTTTATATTCTGACTCTAATATAGAAAATTTTATTTTAATTTCTATGAGTGATTGTGGCTTTTTCTTAATATCTTATTCATGGTTTATGGGTGTCAAATCTGGAATGTTAAAGTCTTTTCTATCATCTAGGGAATTTATTTCCTAAAGGGTCAGTTTTTCTTTTATCTTTGTCTTTCTCCTTTGTGTTAGTTTTTTTGCCACTACTGCCTTAAAATTCTCTATTGTCCATAGATGGTTGAGGATGAGGAAATTAGAAGGCTGATTGGAAGTTTTGGTTATTGAAGGTCAACTGGGTGAGCTTGACTTTATTTAGTTTTCTGCAAATGGGTTTGAGAGCTGGCTGTCAGGCCGTGAGTATTCTAGATGCCAGAGTAATAAGTAGGACCAACAGTCCACCCTAGGAGCCTAGGTCTTTCCATATAGTATGTTTATTTTCTTTAGAGACATGCTTTTTTATGT